CTCCCCCCGTAGATCTAATCTCTTTTTTTATCTTACACCAGAATTGTTCAAAATAGTGTGCAGTGTGTTCTTCTTATTTAATGTGAAAGTGTCACCAGCTGTAAAGAACTTAATAAAACGTAAAAACTAAAAGACTTACATCAGGATATTCGTCAACTCTATTATATAATCCAGATTTACATCAGGATATTCATCAACTCTATTATATAATCCAGATTTACATCAGGATATTCGTCAACTCTGTTATATAATCCAGACTTACATCAGGATATTCGTCAACTCTGTTATATAATCCAGACTTACATCAGGATATTCGTCCAGGACTTTGAAGTTGGAGGAGTAGGTGTAGCTCTGGCCTTTCTGTATGGGGCACGTGATGTTACTGTTGGTGCAGGCGTCAGGGTTGGGCAGGGGGAAGGGGACAGGGATGCCAAACACAATGCCGTACACAGTGGCCTTGAGGGTGGACGAGGTCTCCTCTGGGGAGCGGGGTGGGGGGGGGGGGAGAGGGAGGGGGAGGGAAGGGAGGAGGAACACAGGAGGGTTAGTTAGGTCTTCTTAGCTTTATCTCATCATTCTCGTATTTTGTGAATTTGTCATAATTTTAAAATAATTCTTTTTTCTCCTTCTATCGCTTTGTTCCCTCCCTTACCTCATCGTTATTGTATTCTGTGACTTGGTCATCTTTTTCTTCCTCTCTCTACTGCTCTTCCAGCTTTTTTTTCTCCTACAGTTTTCTTGTTGTTGTTGTTGTTGTTGTTGTTGTTGCTGTTGTTATTTTTGTTGCTTTTGTTGTTGTTCTTCTTCTTGTTCTTCTTGTTGTTGTTATTGTTATTGTTATTGTTGTTGCTGTTGCTGTTGCTGTTGCTGTTGCTGTTGCTGTTGCTGTTGCTGTTGCTGTTGCTGTTGCTGTTGCTGTTGCTGTTGCTGTTGCTACTACTACTACTACTACTACTACTACTACTACTACTACTACTACTACTACTACTACTACTACTACTACTACTACTACTACTACTACTACTACTACTACTACTACTACTATTACTACTACACCAACAACCATACTGTCTTTAGTCTGCCTGTCTGTATATCTATCTATCTATCCATCCGTCCATCCATCCATCCATCCATCCATCCATCCATCCATCCATCCATCCATCCATCCATCCATGACATACGAGCCGTGAAGTCGATGGTCACAATGACTGTGTCTCCCTTCTTGAAGTTGCACGGCTGGCTGGTGCAGGGACTCAGCGACACAGAGGCGGCACTACCGGGGTTTGTCACTGTGTGTGTGTGGGGGGGGGGGGGGGGGGGCATGTTGAGGGGTTCAGAACATTGAAGGAATGATGTGGTCGTGATGATGATGATGATGATGATGGTGATGATGATGATGATGATGATGATGATGATGAGGAAGCCCACAGGGCGAAACGTTGAGCTATTAAACAAATTTAAACATTTTATATTGTTATTTTATTTTTGTCTAAAATTAAAACAAGACTCTCCCTCCTACCCTGCTTACCAAAAAATGATGATGACGATGATGATGATGATGATGATGATGATGATGATGATGATGATGCATCACAATGGTAATAAAAATAATGATAATGATAACTATTACATTATTATTAATAGTATTGTTATTATTGTTGTTATTATTATTATTATTATTATTATTATTGCTTCTACTTAAGTGCATTATTAGCTCATATCCCTGATCTACAGCATGCTCTATGCACTTTACAACTATTGTTACCCCAGCAGATCTTAGAACACTTCAGATACATTCTCAGCTTCATGGAAAGCATACAGCGCAAAAATAACAAGCTTAATTAAGTAATGAAGCGTTGCTGCGAACAACGTGATAGCGCCTATCGTCGTCGTAGCTGGTTAGGGAGGTCTGAAGACAACGTACACCCTTATCTTGCGAGAGACAAATGTCATTTCTTAGACACTTGAGTAGACATAAAAACCTAGGAAATGTTGTCATGTTAAATTAATCCGCAGGCCTTATTGATAAGCAAGAAAACCAACATGTCATTTGTACAATGTACTATATTTGTTTGCGCCACGGTTAGATCGTAGACTTAGATAGATATTATATTATGCGAGACTGGGAACTGTCATAGTCGTTACTCTTTGGTCTCTATGACAACCTCGCTGCTCTGATGCGCACCATGGAAGTACACATTTGGGCAAATCACCAGTATCGTTATTGTTGAGTACACGCATAGTAAAATTTTCTCTCCTTGTCCTACATTTGGTTCCGAATAGAGTCAAATGGTACAATCCGTGGTCAATCAGAGTTGAGTCAGTGAGTGACTAGTGTAGGATATTATCATGCTAGAAGTCCATGAGGTGGACACGGCTCTCGGATAGCACCCAGGG